CCCTGCCCCCCCCCCCCGACTAAGGCAGCACCAATTGCCCATGCAGAGCAGCAATGGAAAGCCAACCTTGCTTGTTCTTCTAACCTGTGCAAAATGGAGTTTGGCAATACCTCAGTAGAGGAAAGATACTATGGCATCAGAATGGTAATATGAATCCATGAGGAGTTCTGAAAATGAGTATAACAAATTTAGCTAGCTAGAGCTAGATGGTTATTCCCCAAGATGTCTCCTGCCTGGAGCTAGACAGAAATTGCTTGTATGTTTTTTAGATTTGAAATAATAAGGATGCCTGCTCTAGGCATTAGGTGTCTTGAATTAATTGTATAGTAGGTAAAATCTCAACATTATTAAAATCGGTGCCACGGAAACTGGATCAGCCATTCAGCCAGCCAGCCATCCCCTTCATCATATAAGAAGCACATCATCAGCCTGCTCCAGAATCCCTATCAAAAAGATGTCCTTTTCAACAGTCTCAGGATACTCAAAAATGCAATGTTTATTCCAAAATATGAGCAGGGCTGAGGAGAGCAAATTCCTGAGTCATATCACTCTCAGACAAGGCCTTGCTGTCCACCTTCTCTCTTTGTCAACAAGGAAGATGTAGCTCAGGAGTCCCTGTGGACTACATCTGTTGCAGTCTGACCAAAGGAGAGAGACTAGGCAATCTCTCTGGTGGGCTGGTCCCATGTCCCAGTGACATGCCTCAGTAAGCAAACTATTGCATTCTCCACCAACTTCAGTCCCTGAATGCTTTTAAGGTAAAGCCCACTGTAATATTCCAGGCTTGCCATGACAAAAACATGGATACAAGAAAAGATCAATCACCAAAAAGAAAAGATGAATCCTTCTAGTCAGATACAGATGGTAAAATCCTGACTATATTACTCTTGGAATATGGTCACCAAACAGCAGCTGAGGAGTCTAAAATCACTCGTAAGTGTGAACACTAGTAACTAATGGCAGATGTACTCCTGTAGTCACAGGGGTTGATATCACCTCTGCCATCTCTTCCATAATTATTTCAGTCTTGTCTGGATTGAGTTTTGGCCAGCTGGCTCTCAGACATGCTCCGGTCTTGACCAGATAATAATGCTGAAGTGCATCCTCTGAATCACATAAAATAGAGACAAACAACTCCTCAGAATCCAAGGACAGTCTTCTACGTTACATGAAGTTTTGGCTTTCCTACAACCTGGCATAACACAAAAACATGGAGACTGGGAACACACAGCCATCTGCCTAGATCTACACGCTATACAGGCATTCAAAAGAAAAAAGAAAAACAAACAGAAAGAAATATTCCACCTACCTCAATCTGCTTGAACAGCTTAAAGTTTGATACCAGATGCCCTTTTCTTTGGCCGAAGCATCATTCCTGTAGTGAGAAAGAAAAATACCTTTTGTTGCAGGAGTTACTGGGAGAAATTCGATGGCTTGTGTTATAAAGAAGGTCAGACAAAATTATCACAATGGTCCTCCCAGCCTTAAAAAGCTATGAACCTATATTCCTATGTCAAAAGGCAACATTATAATCCCAAGATGAGGAGGGAAATTAAAGTCCCTTTGGGCTTTTCACTGTATGTGCAATCACAGCACACCTCATGTAAAAATATGTTTAAAGCTATTGCTACTAAACCATACAGCATGTTCTTTATCCATCAGCATTTCCCTTCCACAGTTTTTGGTTCTGGCAGGACAACTAACATTTTCCTTTTATTCAATGGCAACACATTGTCAGGCTTAAAAGGTGTCTGGAATGATGGTGAGCATACGGTGAGCTCATTGTATTTGCTTGTTGTTTGGGTATCTTTCAACTTGTTCTACATAGAGGGCAATAGAGAATATGGTGCTGATGGCTGAGGAAGCATTACTATTTAGGGAGCATACTTTTGCTTCTTAATCACTACCAAACCAATGCCCTATTATGGTATGAAGGCGCGCCATGCTGTTGGAGGTTCTAACTTTTGTGTAAAACATAAAAATGAAGTCCCTATCATGGGAAGTCATTTAAAAGTTCTTTGTTATTTCCATTTGAGTAGGGACTTCATCACTTGTGGTCACTGACAATCACAAAGCACTTGTCTGCATTCACCACACTTTGCCTATCAAAACTGTACATTGTTTGAAATTCTGTTTGACTTACATTTTTAAGTAGTGAAAGCTGTGCTGTTTATAGGTTTTTTGTCTCACCTGACATATGGCTGGATTTCAGTGGCAAATACTTTCAGCTGACATTTGATATGGATATATATGATCTTGGTAAATATTTGTTTGCCTTGACATGAGGCTTATAGCTAGGCTGTATGACATAAACACAGTTTTCAGGACAGGGTTTGGATCAAACATAGCAATACTATTTTATGATGAATTACGAGAAGGATTTCCTAACATGATTAGCTAAGATCTAGCAAGTTGGGGAGAATCCTAACTATTATGTAGGATTTCTGTTACAAATATACAGATAATGATGAAATACTTTACATTAAATACTATACTATCCCAATTGCAGCATTCTAATAAGAACCAGGCAAGTTTGGAACATACAGTATTTTGGGAGATTTTTAATCCCACTTGAACACTGTAGGCCAAATTTTGCAATCCTTACTCTTTATTCAAATAAGCTCTCTCTAAATAAAGTAAGGAGGTAGAGTCCCCTTCACTTCCTGCCACAATTAGAAAGATATTTCCAGACCTGTTGTATAATACTTAGTGACTATAGGCTTTGTTCAAAAGAAGAACTTAAGACATTGAGCTGGCTCTTCAGGTACCTAAGGCTCACGAGCAAGTTAACACTGGGCATACCTCCATAACCTTTTTGAATTTGGTATCATCCCAGTTGAGAACCACCATTGCGCCGTCTCAGCTTACCTTAGTGGTTCTCAACAGGGTGTTGCCACTGTTGCCACCCAGTAAAAGTGCCCCACAAGTGTCATGCCTATCCAGACCGGGATGGGCTGCAGCACCAGCTTTCATTAGGGCTATCTGATACACCTAAAGCAGGCAGCAGAGTTGGCTTGTGTCGTAGTCCTTCCTGGTCCGGCCCTTGCATGCTCTTCCTAGAAAGAGAGGTATGCAGAGCAAGCAGAACTGTCCCACAAGCCTCTGTTTCTCAGAAATGTCATGCAGTGTCAGACTGGGAAGGACTATGGCAAGAACAGAAGCTCCTTCCTGCTTTAGGCTTACCAGATAACTCAAATGAAGGCAGGCTTGTGCCCTTGTGGTGCAGTCCTTCCCAATCAGGCTGTGCACTAGGTGCATGGTGTCAGCAGGGAAGAGACAGCACCTCTAAAAGTAACTTCCAACAGCCTGCTTGAGAACTACTGCCTATGCACTAAATCCAATATTTAGGAACTACTGGCATTTGCAAAACACCTGCCTGACCCAGCAGTTACCGAATTGCACTTGGTACCTACATGTCCTCTACTAAACCCCCAGGGACACTTAAGTTTCTGCAGCTGTGTGAGTATCTAATTATGTAAGTTGTGACAATCTTGAGTTGTTTGGCATCTGTGTCACACCTAAGCCCCATTGGGGATTCATAAAATAGGCATTCCCTCACCTGTCTCACATTACAGGGACTGATCCAGTAGCCACGACCTAAGCATATCTAACAATAAAGGAACACTAGGCATAGTAGTGCACCCTCTGTTTCACCCTCCTTCCCCGCCCTTAACCCATTAGCTCAGGGGTTTTCAACCTTTTTGGATCAGTGTATCCCCAGCAGCCGGATGTGGAGCATTGTGCCCCCAGTGGCCAGACATGGTGCAGGTGGGGTGGCGGGGGGGTGTTGGGGATGGTACGCAGTCAGACGCAGAGCAGCAGCAGCCACCTCATGCAAGCTTCCCCTGCCCTCTGTGTCTGGGGCCTGCGTGGCATGGTGCATGGTGGTGCTCTATCCCCACCCACCTGTGCGTACCCCCTAGGGCCCTCTCAAGTACCCCCAGTTGACAACCCCTGCATTAGCTCATTAGGAAGATTGTGCGCCCAGGATATATGAAAACTTTCAAGCCATGTCCTCTTTCTACCAGCCTAGTATCCTAACTACTGAACTATGACATCAGTGTCACATTCTTACTCTTTCTGGCTCAATTAATTTTTAATTATTCCATGAATAGTAGTACATGCATAGTAGTACAACATCAATGGAAGGGATTAAGACAGCCCCACCCTGGAATACCCTATTCTGTACTTTTTGTACATGGTGCCATACCGTAGTTCCTTGCATATACTTATTTAAATCAGAACACAGAATAGAGAAATGATGCATCAGCTCTCCTAAACTGAGCCTGGCTATGTACAGTAATTAAATGAAAGAGGGCCTCGGTCTGCTTTAATGCTTGGCAGCCTCCCTCCCCCCACCATCTCAGTGCTACACCAATAGCCAAGTCCATGTTTCTAAGAAGTCAGTGTCCTATTTTTCAGGTGAGATTTAAACTGGAGGTTATAACTATTTATGATGAAAGATCCCATGGCACTTTTCACAAGAGTAGAGCTATTAACCTCATTGACCTGACCAAATTCCATTACCCATTAAGCACCACAGGGTGAAGGACAAGTTTGTACTATCTCAGAGGGAGAAGTATCACCACTGAATCAAGAACACCACACTTAGCAGCACCTGAGCTTGTACAAGGACACACATACTTATAGTATATATATTTGGTAGTGTAAGAGTCATGGTCCAGAGTCCTGGTCCAGAAATTATGCAAGAGACGTTTATCCTAATTACATTGTTGGTCCAATAAAAGATATCACTCTAAGAAATCCTTGCCTCTCATACAGTATATATACACAGTATATACTGAACAGAAACTAAGGAGTGATTTGATGTGGAAGCTGTAATTTACTTCCATGCCGCAGGCTAATGTTTATATAGTTTATTGGAAAAAATGACACAAGATCATGTTTGCTTGCATTAGATATCTTGTAAAACAAGGCTCATATCTTTTCTTCTTAAGTCTCATAGTTTCAACATCCAGTGGGGCATCGGGGATTCTCTTCTGTAGTGTGGCATGCTTACATAGGTAAAACTTAATGGATTTATGTGAGCATAAAGCCAGCGTGAGGAAGTGAATAATCAGGGCCATACCATTTACTTCATTTAGCTGTTTCTCCTCTGCACTGTGGGTGCTAACAATATTTGCCCTGCTTGATACATTGTTTTCCCTGCCAGCTTCTATCCTTTAGTTACCTTCTGTTATATAAAATGGATGCAGAAGGTATTTAGGTTCACATTAAGAGATATATTTAAGACACGCCTTATATTTCAGATTAAGGAGTTGTGTCGTTTAGGTAATTCTGAACACCCAGAACTATCACCACCAATTACTTTCATTATTAGTCTGACCTTGTGGTGGATACCCAGGGAGAATTTCACTGTCACTTGCAGCATTTCACAGTTTCCTAAGTTTCATGAATATATGTGGTGTTCTTTACATTTCACTTCCTTGCTGACACCCCCCAATAACACCTTCTCTTAATTATAGCTACTTTGGTAATAAAGCATAACTCACTTTTATATGGCTGCTACACCACTTTTCTGCTAGCAGCTGTCATAGTGTATAAGCTATATTACACACTAGGAAAAGAGAGGGAGGGTTGAAATGCAACCTACACAGTCTATAGATTTATTATGCTGTTTGGTAGATAGGCCTCTTAATCTTTCAACACTGGGAATACAATAAGCCCTACTAATGCAAACTAACAGCACTTGAAGAAAATGTTAAGAATGTTGATTATATACAAATCAGGAAAGTCTGATACTGCGCATTCAACTGAGACAACTGACTCCTTGAAAATAGTACTTACATATTTTAGGCATCCACTGAGATGTTTTTCTTCCCCCTAACAGCATTTATAGTTTAGGTTCCAAGTGCAGAGCATACCTTTATTGAATACTGGATCTCATCTGTGGATGACATTTATATAGAGACTAGACAAATAGGTCTACATTTTCAAAAGTGCCTAGTTGTTTTGTGTGCCTCAGCTTTTAGGTGTCAGGCATAAATCAGCTTGACAGGTCCTATTTGATGGAAAGTGCCTTAAAAGTCAAGCCCCTTTCAACTAAGGAATCCCAATTCACTTTTGAAAACCTAAGTGTAACTAAGGGCGGATTCAGGTGGGGGTGCAGTGGTACAATTGCACCTTCTTTTGATTCCTGTTCAACCCATGTTTTAAAACCAACTTTCCCCTGAAAGGCAGTAGCGTTTCTATTCAGGCAGTGCTGAGGGAATCAATAGACTTCCTGGCTCATTATAATGGGCCTGGTTCCTATTAATCTCTCTTCCCTCCCAGAGGTGTTAAGAACCTTTTGTCTTTTTTAAGGGTCTGAATGCTCCATTAACCAAGCGATCCTTTCTTCTGCAATTTTGCTGC